AACGCGAAGAAGACTACAAATCCTCAGATAGCGCGATGGTACAATCTGATTCAGGAATACGATTTCGAAATTCGACATAAACCAGGGGAGAAGATGGCCCACGTAGACGGAATGAGTAGAGCTCCAGTCGACGACCCTAGAGACACGATGGAGGAAATCGTGGAGAAAAACCTTGAAGTGTGCCTCACAATCACACTGGAAGAACAAATCTTGATGATTCAGCATTCCGACCCTGAATTGAGAGACCTGATCCAGATCTTTCGAAAGGACCCGTGTGATAGGACAGTAGGAGAACAAAATAGAATTAACGACTACAGCTACAAAGGAGGCAGACTTTTCCGCATGGTGAAAAATGGAGAAGAGGAACGAGCCCTGTATGTTATACCCAAAAGTATGAGGAAAAGCTTAGTTGTCAAATTCCATGATCTAATGGGACATTTTGCGACTGATAGGACTGTCAACAAAATTAAGGAATTGTACTGGTTTCCTTCAATGAAGAGGTACGTTCGACGCCATGTGGCTATGTGTCTCGAGTGTCTATTTAACAAAGTTCCCGGTGGAAAACAACAAGGCTTCCTACATCCCATTAGGTCAGGCAAGAGACCGTTTTCCATCGTACACATGGACCACGTAGGCCCCTTCGTGAGAAGTACAAAAGGTAACCAGGAACTTTTAGTGATTGTCGATAATCTGACAAGATTTGTCCGATTAAGCCCTGTAAGGAATACATCGACGCAGAACGTCCTGAAGGTAATGAAAAGTTTTGTGAATGATTTCGGACTACCCGACAAGATCATCAGCGACAGAGGGTCATGTTTTACCTCAAGGCAATTTGAAGAATTCTGTCGAGGAAATGGAATACATCATACTCTGAACTCTACGAAACATCCGCAAGGGAACGGGATGGTCGAAAGAGTGAACCGAACAGTATTGTCCACTATAGCAACCAGTATCGAGGATCCGCGACGGAAGGATTGGGACCTGAAGATCAAGGAGGTAGAGCGAGACCTGAACAATGCGGTGAACAAGACGACGAATAAAACACCGTTCGAAACACTCCACGGCTATTCCCCTCGATTCCACGATGGGATACTTAGAAGATTAGCCGACGAAGACGTGGACCCATGGACCGAGCCGGATAGAATTCAAGAGAGTGTGAGATCCCAAATTGAGAACAAACAAGAAATTATGAAGACATACTACGATAAGAAGAGGTGCCGTACAATCCAATTCGAAGTAGGAGAAATTGTAGTGATGAGGCATGTACCCAAAATGACGGGGGAACCAACCAAGGCACAACCCAAATATCGAGGACCTTTGATAATTACCGAGGTTCTGCCAAGCGACACGTATAGAGTGACTCAGTTAAGCGAAAGAACCAGTGGACGGTTCTACACGACAACGGCCCATATCAGTCAACTGAAGTCTTGGCACAGTGAAGAAGATGACTCAGCTACAGAAGAAAGTCCGGACGAGGAGCCAGAAGTAGAAGATACCCCCCGACGCAACCCACGACGTTCCTGCAACGCAAGGTTCAATCGAGGACGATTGAAATCCAGGAATGGCCGAATGTAGGCGCCATCCCGACCAGAGAGCCACAGATAAACAGATTATAAACGCACAGAATATAGAATCCGAGCTCCCCAGTAGAAGGAATACCCGGAAGACGACGGTACTCTCTGTTATATTTGTTGTTCACTATCATGATTTTGTTCTAATAAACACTACTAAATTATTTCATTGGATCCTCTCTTTCTTTTTCCCAGTAAGAAACGCCTACGGAAGCCAACACGATATATAATGAATGATCAAATTTTACATCTAAAACGTCTTAAAAGAGTGTTAAAATTGCTTTATACTTATATCCACGCGAATAACTTGAAAATATTATTTTTATCCTCAACCTAATTTTAGTACGTTTTATTTAGATTCAGTGATTTCCTAGAATCTCCAATTCACTTTTAGAAATGCAGTTAAAACGTGAGAATTACATAATAGCAGGATAAGCTTCAAATGTTCCTGCTTAAGACACAAACCGTAGATGTATATCTGACCTACGAATATTGTTACCACAAATTTCAATATTATAATTATTATTATTATTAATTTTTTGGTATAGTGGTATTCACGTGATGATAGGAATTCCTCAATATGTTATCATCATCTCCGCCATAACCAGAATTATCCACCCCCGAAAAAATTAGCTCGTTATTGAGATTATTTGTATATGCTTCGAATTTATAATACAATATAATGCGGCCTATATGATTGTAGAACTAAGTTTGACAATTATATCGCAAATGTTTCTTTTAAAACGAAAATTCGAAATTTTATCTCAAGGAGAAATAACGATTATTTCTAACCTTAGAGAGATGAAGTATGAAAGGATGAATTGTGAAGAGTAATGATGAACGGAAAAATAAAAGTGTCCAAGGATGGGAATCGAACCCACAGTGTTCCGCTTACCGGGCAGATTCCATGTCTACTAGGCTACCCTGGACATATTTTTTCCGTTCGTAATGTTTATATGTTAATATATATTTTAACTATCTATATGCAAAATAGTATAAATATAATGATAATATTAATGATTAATAATCATATTAATGATTAGTTTTCAGTAAATTTGATGGAGAAGAATAACAGATATCTCTCCATTTAAAATTTTATTTATATATACTCGTACATATGTTAAATACTTATATGCATAAGCCCTTTTTACATATAGCTCACACCACGTACTTATATATGTAAACAGTCCTAGTTGTAAAATGCCGTTATCTCTTTAGTATGAGCCTCAAGAAATGCGATTCTCGCTTGAAAGCTTACATTTCAAATATCAATAGCTACTCATTGTTAAGAGTATTCACTAATTTTATAACCTTTACCATTTCTCCCTTATTTAATCAAGTAAAAACACACACATATATATATATTTGAAGAAGAGTTATCTAGTTTTTCTTAAAATAAGAACAATTGGCTGTTAGAGAAAGCGACATCCTATAAAAGAATTTGCGTATCATATAATAAAAGATAAACTTCGTCCAACACTCAATTGTCGTTATTTTCCACATGTGTAAGTCCACACAGAAGTAAGGAAGAAAAGGAATTCCGGCAGTCGTTGAACCACCAAGATCTATTGATCCATCATCGACCAGGGCAGACTCTTTGTGGAGGGCCTTCGATACTTCCTGGAAGTCTGCAGTTCCTTCACCCCGCGGCCGATCGCTCCAAACGTTAGCCAGGAAGTAGAGAATATCTAACTTGTGGATTATCATTCTTTGACACGAAGTAGTTCATTCTCTTCACTCTCAGCTCTTTACCTTTCATTATGGAAATTTTTCTATATATATATTTTTTGGCTAATTCCACTATATTTTAAGGATATAGCCAGAACGTGTCGATTATGGAAGTCAGAACTACCACATTCTTCTTGTGCTCTTGGTGCTATAATTCTATAATGGCACCTGGTTTTCCACATAGATTTGAATAGATAGTTCTATAGAAATTTCCATATATGTACGTGTATATAGAAGAAGGATTGTATAAGTACTAATATTAATATCCACCATTGGGAACGAATTCGAGGGAATTTGCCTTTCGCTCCAGCATTTCAAAATACGACAGAATTGATTTATTGATCAGGCTGGCTCTCTCTCTCTCTCTCCGTTGAGGGGCTTCGATCTTACCCGGAAGCTAACGTTCCTTCACCTCAGACTACCACGGCGTGCGTTCCTCTGGGATTGTTCAGATACCATTGTTTTTTTAACAATATAAAATGATTTATTGACATCGTGTCAATTACATAGGTGCACAGTGTATGTAAAATTATTGATACAATGATAAGATTATGTCGGAAATATATATTTAAGTGCTATCTACAATTTTTATGTACAAGGTGACTCTGTCACCGATACATTAGATGCTAGGAAAATATATTTAAAAGAATAAATATTTAGATCCATTTCGAAAACACCACTCACATCGTAGTTGATTTAATCTCCCTGTTTCAATAGCGATGTATTTACTTTTGTTTCAGAATCTCTAGCTAGGGTTTAAGAACCACACAAGGAATATCCTTAGGGGGGTGTTAAGAATCAATAGATAGGGTTTATAAACCAGGAAATATCCTTAGGTGTTGATAATCTATATCTAGGGTTTATGGACGAGGGAATGTCCTTAGATGTTGATAAATTAAAGTTAGGGATATCGACGAGGCAATATACTTAGATATTGTGATAATCTAGGATTTTGGACCAGGGAAGTTCCTTAGATGTTGAGAATTTTTATATAGAGTTTATGGATCTGGGAGTATCTTTAGGTGTTGAGAATTTAGAATTAGGGTTATGGACCTATGAATCTATAGCCTGGTTTTTATATGTTATATAAAAATCTATCGCTAAGAATTATTGACTAAAGAATATCCTTTAAAACTGGCAAAAATAGGAAGAATTATGGGATAAACGAGGTATATAAGTGGGAATGTTAAGTTACATTGTAGTAACTTGCTATGTAAATAAGGAGATATTTTAGCATATTGTGCTACTGAGACATTGAAGTGCTTTGAAACCTTCCATCTATAAAGTGAATTCGAAAGAATCTTGACTGAGTTTACCTTATTGATCCATCAAACTCTATAGACAAACTTTTACATCGTATACAAAGAGAATATGTTCACTCTATCTATATAGAAAATAGAATCCTCAAATAAATGTCAACTTCAGTATTTTTAGATATATAACAACATAAATCTGTGGGAGGATGATATTGCCACGTGGAGAATTAGGGAAGATCAACTTCGGGATGAAACAGCAATTTATTTCAGGCAAGAACAAACTATGAATGGTAAACAAAAGATAAGCCACGAGGGAAATTTACAGAGTAGCAAAATTTATATATACAGTTATCAGAGTCATCAAGCAACAATTCTTAATAATCAATTCTGTCACCGTTTGCTTTTGTGAATGGAATAAATACCCAAATATGGCCAATTCTCATAACCATCGGTGGTTCAGTGGTAGAATGCTCGCCTGCCACGCGGGCAGGCCCGGGTTTGATTCCCGGCCGATGCATTTTTTTTTTTTTTTACAATTTTAAAAACTCATTTATATATTATACAAGAATGACATCCACGGCGCCAATTTATAATTGTAATGAATATTATTTGAATAAAAGCATTTAATCGGGTAAACCCCGGGCGTTGCCCGGGTTATTCGGCTAGTATAAACATAAAAATGACCACTCTGTTAATAAAAATAATAAAATTAATAAATATTCTGTTACAATATTTATATACCAAAATAGGCACCTCTACCTTTACTTGTACATCAGAACGTGGCACTGTACATCACCCTAGTGAAAAACCTTACTAGCGATGATAAAGAATAAGCCACATCACCAGTTTTGGCAAATTCAGACAAAATTCCAACCTATATACCATGGTTTCAGGCTATGGCTATCATTTGTACAGAGGCAGCTTCGATTCCATAGCATCCAACGAGAGGAATTTAGCTAACAAATATAAAAAATGACATCAACTCAAACATTTTACTCGATTCTTTCACTTTAATAAAGGTACTCGAGGGAATATAAGTCCTAGCTAGGTCGATGTTCCAATAATCCTTAAATCGAGCAACAAGAAAGAAAAGTAACTGGGATATAAAAAAAGATAATCTCCACAAGATGAGCCTGCTTACAAAAGAACTCTCGCCGGCCGAACTTTAACGAAAGACAGAAAGAATTAATTCAATCTCCCTTGAGAATAAAATCTTCAAGATGTTCTTAGGCGAAGTCTTCTACCATTTTGTTATATTGCTCTTTGGAACCTGATACTGCCCTTGATATGGAACATGGCGAAATATTGAACTGAAAAGCAATGGTTCTAATTATTTATGACTTTTGATAACATCTTAACTATCTAGTTTATTGATAAAGTGAGAATTATTATAGAAAGGTATTTGCGTAGTAAAATATATGAATGACTTTTCACAAAGATTTTTTTTCTTTGCCTAAACGGAAAGTTTTAATGAGTCATCATTTCATCAGGCTTTGTAAAAACCACATTATAGTTAAGTAGTAAAGTTAATTTTAGTATTTTTATATTTGTACTTAAATATACTGTATGTTTATACATATGGTAATAGACTATGCTGTAAAACCTTTGGCCTGTTGAATTTACTACACTTTACTATTTTGTCTTTTTAGGAAACAAAAGAAACCTTTAAAAATCTCTTTAATTGTTTAGTATGAGTTTAAAATGCCAGCGCACACTTTGTCGAATTTAAAAAGAGCCAAAAATATTTGAATTTTAGGGAGTTGTTTTTTGGCGTGGTTGTGTAAAGATTTATTTTAAAAAAAAAAGAGTTTTCATTAGAAGAAGTTGTGTTATAGGGAATATTTTTCATTTTTCTATAAATATATCTATCTAATGTCACTCAATATTTACAAATATTATTCTTTACAAAGGCGCTGAATATATAATTTGAAAATAGGATAAAACTGAATTGACAGACTGAATATTTTTGTTACACTTTTATATATGTGAAAATATGTAACAAAGGTGATATTGTACTGGGATAATGTGCATTGTTAGTGGTTAGCTTTTCTTGATTAATCAAGAATGGGTAATTGGCCAATTCTGGAATAATTAGAAATCAACGAGAATAGTTTATATTTATTCCGATAGAAGGCGCAAGTCATCATCAACTTTCAGTTGCACCATAAGGAGATGCCTTTTTCATAATACTATTATATAGATATTTAATTTTTACTTCATTTCATCTTTTATATGTTTGAAATATACATACTCTGAAAATTATAATAAAATTTAATAAAAATATTGACTGAGGGGTGTTAAAGGCTGGGATTGTAGAAATAAAGATTGTATATATATATTGACACGTGGATAATTAAGAAAGAAAAACTTCAGGATGACACAGCAATTTTATTTAAGGCAAGAACAAACTATGAATGATAAAAAAAGATAAATAATGAGGGAAGTTTACAGAGCAACAAAATATAATATCAAAAATGATACCCTGTTGATAAAATAATAATTACTTTGCTACAATATAATGATTAGAGAACATGTAGATAAAGTATGAGAAACAAGGGGGCTTCTATTCCTCGAAGATATTGGTCAGTACGGGTTTTATTAGATTAGGTCGGGTTATTTGGGATCAAGGTAATCTTTCAGAGAGGTGGTCGTCCATCGTATGGATTCCTCATGAGAGGTGCTTTCCATAATATGGATTCCTCATGAGAGGTGGTCGTTTATAATATGGATTCCTCATGAGAGGTGGTCGTTTATAATATGGATTCCTCATGAGAGGTGGTCGTCCTTCATATGGTTCCGCATGAGAGGTGGTAGTCCTTCATATGGATTCCGCATGAGAGGTGGTCGTCCTTTATATGGATTCCGCATGAGAGGTGGTCGTCCTTCATATGAATTCCGCATGAGAGGTGGTCTTCCATTAGATGGATTCCTCATGAGAGGTGGTCGTCCTTTATATGGATTCCGCATGAGAGGTGGTCTTCCATCAGATGGATTCCTCTCTCAAGAGAGTTTTCATTGAACCAACACCAAAATATATCAATATTTAATATTTTATTTGTTCCAAACAAAAAGAAATTACAAAAAAAAAATGCATTCTCCAGCCACTTAATTAAAATCCAGAGATCTGTGTAATATTAATAAAATTTGCATAAGGTAATTAAACCATTTATATTTTAGGAAACGTTTTGTTAAAAAACAATTTCTCCAATTTCGAGAATGAATAATTGTTTTGAGAGTATTCATTTTAAAATTCACACAAATGTTTGCTATTTACAGAAATTCCAGAGAGTAATTTAATTTCAAATAATTCTAATGATGATAATAGATTTAAAAATAGATTCTGTAAACTATTTCTGGCCAGTTCCTCAATTTCTTCATTAAAAACATTTGAGAATAAACACGCATGGACAAAACTTGAGGAATTAGAACTTCTGATGTCATCAGTCATATGTTTTTTTAAAGGAGACAAAGTCAATTTTGTCCATACTTGGTTATTTCGTGTGTTTTCAATAACGGTCATCGTGTATCAATTATCTTTTCAGAGATTTACTAAATACCTTGTTATATTGCTATATCACCAGTCATATGATTTTTAAAGAAGAAAGAGGCAATTTTGTTCATACTTGGTTATCTCGTGTGTTTTCAATAAAGGTTACTGTGTATCAATTATCTTTTTCAGAGATTTACTAAATCCCTTGATATATTGCTATATCACCAATCATATGTTTTTTTAAAGGAGAAAGAGGCAATTTTGTCCATACTTGGTTATCTCGTGTGTTTTCAATAAAGGTCACTGTGCATCAATTATCTATTTCATAGATTTATAAATTCCTTGATA